AAAAAAAAATAGAAGTATTGCTGGTTTTTGATCAAAGAAATGCAATGATGCTGTTTAATGGAGCCAACATTGGGCAGCTGGCTGCAAAATCGTTAAGTATAGACGCACTTGTAGTCGCCCAGAATACCCCTACTTTGTCGCGTCAATATGTAATTACGTATTTGGAAATTGCGTGAAACCAGCATCAGAATAACGAATGATTTTAAAATTGAACTTACCTGAAGACTAGTATGATCGCTTTGTCGGCATGATCAATAGCCGTATATCCGCTACAGGTATCCGTGGGTATTTTGTCACATTGCGTCGTGATTTTATGGAGCACCTGAAGGTTTTTTTTTTGATTAGTGAATAGAGCAATGGTGAAGAGAAAGCCTTAGGCTGGCTACTAGAGCTTCAGAGGGACCTTCAAAATCGTGAAGCTTCGGAACATCCAATTCTCACGGTGAAGACATGCGCGACAAGAACAGGTGGAAGCACTTCGCAAAGACTGGCAAAGGATGAGGGCATCGAGGTTTGGATGTACGCTTACTATTGCGATAACTCGTGAACGTCATGTTTAAGGAATGATTTGAAGAACCGTTGAAGACGGTACCCCAAGTTAGCGACATTCTGCTGGTACCGAGTTGTGAAGAATTCTCTAGTGGCAGCCCCAAAAAGTACAACAAGTATGACAGGGATTGGATTCCCCTTGAATGGGAGTATACTATGTTACTCAGTTCCGAGCAGTGCGCAGATTGCAATGAACATCGTATTGGGAAGGAGGTCTCGCGTCAGATGGGTTGGAAAGACATGGAAGAAGGTCGGAGAAGGACCGGCATTTACAACTTCGCTTTGAAACGGCATCATGCTTGTGACATCGAATACCGATCAGGCGGAACATGAATGCTATGCAGCTGAATTTTGGGATGACTGGCCCCTTTTGAAGATGTTGTTCAAAGGATAGTTTCTTATACTCCTATCACGATCAACGCTGTGAACATCTCCTCCGGATTACGAAGATCGGCAACCCTGGCACACCCGTCAAGGAAGAATGAATGGAATGATCTCCAGAATGGAAGATCTGGTGGGCCTGGCACGACAACAATCAGCAGAAACAATTGGGAGGGACGTGATCGGAAGGAGAATCCCATGCTCCTTCGCCTTCCATGAATCCGATCTCAACTAGGAAAAGAATGGTACGAATGAACTTGATTGATGATGATCCTCAGGGGCTTCAACAAAGGGGAATTGCTCAAAAGTGCCATGGAGAGATGAGAACTGTAGCGGTGTGTCATTCTTCTGGCTGGAATATACCTATCATGGCAGACCTCTCCTTATAAGGTATGCCGCATTCAGAAGTGCGATCCCAGAAAGCACGTGAAAAATGAGTGGGCACCCACAAGTTCCCGAAGGGCGCCTTGCATTCCTACTCTGTTCGAACTCGCGCGAAAGGCGAGAACCCTTCAGACGTAATTAGACAGCGCATTTCATTGAAGACGCCTCTAATTTGAAACCACTTGGAAAAAAGAGAAAATGAAACGAGTAATCCTGACCGTTGTATTTGTGAACGTATGTCGGAAACATATCTGTGGATCGTCCAATTCGGTAGCAGCACATAACGTGACTACTTTAGTACGGGCGAATTCATCGGAGAATCGTG